ATTGAAGTTAAAAGGAACTTTTGAATCCTTGATGGCTTACAAATTACAGTACTGCTTTGAATCACCCCACTAAAAAAGGTTATATAACTAATATCACATTTATTCAATGGACCTATATGCTGAATTTATACTGGTTATATAACTGGTGTCATGCATACTGAGCTTGATACAATTTCTAGCGGTGTATGTTATTGTTATACTACTTTGAACCTTAGAAGTCTCTTTATGAAAAAAAAAATTGCTGTACAAATCTCAACCATTCACATTGATGTCAAGAGTAATCCCCATCGTTCGTGTAATATGTTTACTTCTTATAATCATCAGCTTCGTCTAGTAGCCATAATGGGGCATTTCAGGGTAATACCCCATTATGGCTGTTAGATGGAGCGGACGATCCTAGGAAATAAACATATTAGTCACATTACGGGACTTATTTGTGATGGCTGTGCGAATATTGATACATTTGTACAGCAAATTTTTCGTAAATAGACCCCCATAGTGATCAGGATGTCACACTGCATATTATTGCTACTGTTCATCCAATTTACATTGGCTTTTTCACATTTAGTATTTGATAGGAGTATTTTTAATGTAACTCAATTAAAAAAAATATTTTGTTTTTATCTATTTTTTGATTGCTTATGAACACGTTCATTCCAATTCAGCCTGAATCCATCACAAAGAACCTTTGAGAAATGAATTTTGTTAAAACAAAACATAATACAATTAGATTTTGGAAGTAAACATATTTAAATAAATCAAATAAACAAGATGTCCAAAATTATATTTCTTGACGGCTCCATGGCAGCACAGCTGGGTGAGGCCCCGCCCACCCCCTGCTTGACCAGGCTGTAACTCAATAAAGTTTTGACCCATCTCAGCCTAGGTGTTCCTTTTTCTTCCTCCTGCAATCAAGACAGGTGGCATCTCCCCTCCTAGCTGGTCTAATGGCTGGCTGTCTATCCAGAATAACTCACAAGGTTGGACGTGGTCCTTGTGCTCCTTTGCTAACAGCAGTTTGACCAGGGAGCCCTGATGCTGGTCCTCGGGCGGCATCAGGTCGAGGTAAAGTACTGCCGGCTATGGGTTGGTACACCAGTAGGGGTTCCTTGGCGGCTGCTGGCAGAGATAAAATTCTTCCATGGCGGCTGCTGGGGATGATGGCGGTGGACAGATCTCCGGACACTGCTCTGGGAGCGGCGCTGGTCTCCCTGCTTCTTACTAGCGCCTGTTCTGAGCATGTGCGGGACCACTCGGCCAATCAGGAGAAGGGAGGCGGGTCAAGCTTAAGGGAGCAAAAATGTAAAGATGCTTCTGGCTGAAGCATGTGGCTCCTATGTGATGGTGTGCTCCTGCAGCCTGCCTGTGCCTGCTATTCCCTCTCCCTCTTCCAGGTATGCATTGCACCTGCAAGGCTGTGCTCCTGTGATTCTATCTGCTGTATTGCTCTGCCTCATGCTCTTGGTTTTGTTTTTTTACAGCAGTGATAACATGCCTACTCCCTCTAAAGACCAACGTTCTCAGAGAAGGCAGGGGAGACTTCGCCATATACGCAAATTATTTTTGTTGTTTTTCAAGTCAATGACTAATTTTCTCTTTTTTGTCTGTGCTGCCCCAGCTCCTCCGTGCTTCCTGACGATCAGAAAGAAGCTCAGAAAGAAGAAGGAGATGGTCATCTGCAAAGGAAGATCTCGTGTTTCCGTTCAGGCTCTAGGGGTCAGTGATCCCCATCACCATACGGCAGAGATTCACATCATGATCGATCCAGACCAGGAGGATGCTGGGCATGCCCTAGAAGAGCCATGCTGGGCAAAACGGCTTGAGACTTGCTTCAAAGAAGCAACCAGACACCAAGAACCCGATAAGGCAGAGATGGTATCGCTAACGGAACAGGCATTTGAGGAGACAGTAAAGGCATTTGCATTGCAGTCGCAGTCTTCAGCCGCCCCAATTTCGTCCAACTTGCACTCCTTGTCTTCGCAGATGCAGGCAGCTAGTCAGATTCCAGAGGCCCAGGAACTGTTGGCCTCAGACACTGTTTCCTCGGAGGAGGATGAGGGCTGTTATGATGGTTTTAATTTGCCTCGGTCCAGTCTTTCGTGAAAGAGATTAAGCAGGCTCTGCTTTGGGAAGACGCTGGGGAAGAACCGCAGAGGAAGTTTTTTATGAACATGAAAAAGGAGGAGGTAAATTTCCCATTCATGGAAGAAATTCAGGACATAATTACTGATGAGTGAACCAAGCGGATAAGAGAATCACTTTTAAGAATCGGTTTGCAAAGCTATACCCCTTCAAGTCGGAGACTATTAAGAGGAGCCTCCGGTGGTGGACACAGCACTTATGTGCCTCGCTAGACACGTAGCCCATCCACTAGATGATGCAGTGACATTCAGGGACGTGTTGGATAGAATAGTGGATGTGGATCTGAAAAAGATTTACACATTTGCTAGTGGGGCGTGTAGACCTTCTATGGCTTTGGCAGCTATTTCGAAGGCCATGGAGTCCTGGGTTCAGCAGTCAGAAGTGGCAGTGGGAAGTGACCTGAGCAAAGATGAGGTCTCCTTTGCCAATTTGAAGCTAACGTCTTCTTTTATGATGGAGGCATCCATTGACCTAATTAAGATGTTGGCCAAGATCATGCTTAATGCAGTAACAGACAGAAGAACCCTATGGCTGAGGCCCTGGGTGGTGGCCCCAATCTCCAAACATGGACAGTGTAAGATACAATTTGAAGGGCAGTCCCTGTTTGGAAATAAATTAGACACTGCCATCAGAAAAGCCACAGGGGAGAAGTCAGGGTTTATTCCCCAGGATCAGAGGCTGCTTCACAGAAGAGATGCAGCATACAAAAATTTGCCAAGGACCAAAGATAGAGATGCTAAGTCTTACAGGCTAGGGAAAGAATTTCGTTGGCAATGGTCTAGCACAGCTGCGAACCGCAAGTCGAAGAGACCAACTTCGTCTCTAAGACAGGAGTCCCAGAAGTCTTTTAGACTATCTGCCGGCTCAAACTTGTCACATGGGAGCCAAATTATTCAAGTTCTGTCAGGTGTGGGCACAAGAGGTAAAGGAGCCTTCGGTAATTTCCACGATCCGGTTCGGCCTTGCTTGTAAGTTCCTGAGGCATCCCCGCAGAATCTATGTCCCGACAAAATTACCTTTGGCAAGAGAAAAGCAGGATGTTTTATGGGAATACATAGAAACCCTCCTCAACCAGGATGTCATAGTTGCAGTACCCCAGCAAGAACGTTTTTCTGGAATCTACTCGCCTCTATTTCTAGTGCAAAGTCGGAAGACCGGTGAGAGACCTCAGGAGGCTCAACATGTATTTCAAGAAAGACAGATTCAAAATGGAATCTCTCCAGACAAAAGGGCAGCACCAACACAGCCTATAGCAGGATATGGAGCAAGTTCGTGGAATTTAAAAAACAGCCATGGCTTTGCGCCAGATACCCCGAGAGTCTGCCACTTATTGGAATTCCTCTAGGCAGGGCTGGATATTGGTCTGTCTGTGAGTACTCTGAAGGCTCACGTTTCTGCCCTCTCAGCTTTTACAGGTACCCTATGGGCATCGGACTATTTAGTGGTTCTTTAAGGCAGCTATCTGCCAAACACCACCCAATCTGATTTTCCCAAAATGTGACTTGCCACTGGTGTTGGACTTCCTCTCATCAGACACCTTCAGTCATCCTGCCTCACTATGGCATCTTACTCTGAAAACAGCGTTTTTTGAGGTGATAAGATCAGCCAAAAGAGTCTCAGAACTAGCAGCCTTCGGGTTTAAAGAACCCTTTCTTTCGTGCTTTCTGGATAGGGTCGTGCTTAGACCAATGCTAGGATTCATACCCAAAGTTGCCTCCAGGTTTTACATAATGCAAGATATTACACTCCCGATGCTCCTTTCGGAAAATTCCAAGGACCCAAGTCCATTGGATGTTGGTCACTCATTAAGAAACTATGTGGAAGCTACTTTCGAGCTCAGGAAGTCAGATCATCTTTTCACCATTCCTAACGGTGCATGGAAAGGCTCGAGAGCTTCTAGTAGAGTAATCGCGCATTCCACTAGAGGGATTTCAACCTCATGGGCAGCAGTGGGCTGAGTTTCCCCGGAAACAATCTGCAAAGTGGCTACATGGTCTTCTGTTCATACCTTCATGACTGATTATTGTATAGAACCTGTGGTTTTGACTACTGCTGATTTTGGCAGGGGTGTCTTGGCCTCTGCTTCCAGTCAAAATTAAATTGGGTTTGCACTACTCTCCCGTGTGTGGCTAGTTAAATCCCATATGTGCTGACATGGAGCTGTCAGGAAAACAAAATTGAATTCAAATACTGACCGAAATTTTCCTTTCCTGACGAGCTCCATGACAGCACAAATCCCACCCAGTTTAGTAGTATGAGATACGGAACGCCTAGGCTGAGGTGGGTCAAAAATGTATTGAGTTACATCCTGATCAGGCAGGGGGTGGGCGGGTTCTCACCCAACTGTGCTGCCATGGAGCTCGTTAGGAAAGAAGAATTACACTAAGTATTTTAATTAAATTTTCCATTTTTTTAGCCAGAAAAGCCTTTCCCAAAATTAGTGGACCTGATTTTCCCTGACTTCATGGCCTGTTTCACCAATTGCCATCCTATTATCCACTGAGACTGTCCCTTCTAGTCACTAAAACTTACTAATCGCATGTCAGTAGGAAGGGCTTAGCAATAAAGCTAAGTAAAATAATACCTCTGTAACAAAGTGAAACTAAATCAGGGAGGAGCACAGAACAAGCATTTCTGGCCAATAAAGGTAACATAAGGCATCTTATAGTACAAGCAGTATGCAGGACTTTTCCTTGAAATTTAAAGTGTGTATTCGGTTTGTCATCTGTTTTAAGTGTTTTAAGTGCCCATCACTTATGAGGTCTTCAGTACATTAAAGTAAAGGATTGTGCCCACAGTATGTCTATTTGCTACACAAACAGTACATCTTATAAGACAGTCTAGACTCAATGTCTTACCATGGCATCTCCTGCACTGGCTTGACTGTTTTTGACCTGTCGGTTCTGATAAAATTCCAGCTGTTTTTCTGCAAGTTCCACACGTTGTAGCAAGTTCTCAATAAACTGCTGGAGTCTCCTTTTCCCTCGTAATTCCTTCTCAGCAGCCGCCTCCAGAAAGTGATTGATAGACACAACTTCTCTAAAGTGAAAAAAAACACAATGATGTTCTACTACAACTGCTGCATTTAACACACACACATATATATATATACAGTTGCAAGAAAAAGTATGTGAACCCCTTGGGATTACGTGGAGTTTTGCATGAATTGGGCATAAAATGTGCTCTGAACGTCATCTAAGTCACAACAATAGAAGAACACAGTCTGCTGAACATAATACTGCACAAACATTAGACGTTGCCATGGTTTAATTGCACATAACATGTAAACATTCACAGTGCAGGGAGGAAAAAGTATGTGAACCTTTGGACTTAATAACTGGTTGACCCTCCTTTGGCAGCAATAACCTCAAGCAAACGTTTCCTGTACTTGCAGATCAGACCTGCACAACGATCTGGAGTAATTTTGGACCACTCCTCTTCACAAAACTGTTTCAGTGTAGCAATATTCTTGGGATGTCTGGTGTGAATCGCTCTCTTAAGGTCAAGCCACAGCATTTCAATCGGGTTGAGGTCAGGAGTCTGACTGGGCCACTCCAGAAGGCGTATTCCGTGCTGTTGCAGCCATTGTTTTGTTGAATTACTTGTATGCTTTGGGTCATTGTCCTGTTGCATCACCCATCCTCTGTGGAGCTTCAGTTGGCGGACAGATGGTCGTACGTTTTCCTGCAAAATGTCTTGATAAACTCTGGAATTCATTTTTCCATCAATGACAACAATCCGTCCAGGCCATGAGGCAGCAAAGCAGCCCCAAACCATGATGCTCCCTCCGCCATGTTTTACAGTGGGGATGAGGTTTTGATGTTGGTGTGCTGTGCCTTTTTTTCTTCACACATAGTGTTGTGTGTTCTTCCCAAACAACTCAATCTTGGTTTCATCTGTCCACAGTATATTTTGCCAGTAGTGCTGTGGAACATCCAGGTGCTCTTTTGCAAACTTCAAACGTGCTGCAATATTCTTTTTGGACAGCAATGGCTTCCTCCGTGGTGTCCTCCCATGTATTCCATTCTTGTTTAATGTTTTCCTTATTGTAGATGTGTCAACAAAAATGTTAGCATGTGCCAGAGATTTCTGTAGGTCTTTAGCTGACACTTTGGGATTCTTCTTTACCTCGTGCAGCATTCTGCGCTGTGCTCTTGCAGTCATTTTTACAGGACGACCACGCCTAGGGAGAGTAGCAACAGTGCTAAACTTTCTCCATTTGTAGACAGTCTGTCTTACCGTGGACACATGAACATCAAGGCTTTTGGAGATACCTTTGTAACCCTTTCCAGCTTCATGCAAGTCAACAATTCTTGATCGTAGGGCTTCTGAGAGCTCTTTTCTGCGAGGCATGGTTCACATCAGACAGTGCTTCTTGAAACCAGTAAACCCAAAACAGGTGTGTGTTTTTTAAGGGCAGGACAGCTGTCAGCAACACATCCAATATCATCACACTGATTGGAGTCAAGGTTGGCTCACTCCTGGCTCCAATTAGCTCTGGGAGAAGTTATTAATCTAGGGCTTCACATACTTTTTCCTCCCTGCACTGTGAATGTTTACATGTTATGTGCAATTAAACCATGGCAACATCTAATGTTTGTGTAGTATTATGTTCAGCAGACTGTGTTCTTCTATTGTTGTGACTTAGATGACGTTCAGAGCACATTTTATGCCCAATTCATGCAAAACTCCACGTAATCCCAAGGGGTTCACATACTTTTTCTTGCAACTGTATATATATTATATATATATATATATATATATATATATATATACATACACAGTGCTCAGCATAAATGAGTACACCCCAACAGATTTGTCAGAAAACCTTTACTTTCCTTTCAGAATTAACATTTTCTATGGGACACTGTACTACAAAATACTCCCACAAATGCTGGCCATTGATTGCAAACAAGATTTGTTAATTTGCACACAAAAAAAAGTATTTTTCCTAACAAATTCATTCAAGACCATGTTGCATAAATGAATACACCCCAATGAAAGTCTTAAGCTGGCCATACATTATACAATTATCTGGAGATTTTTGGTTTAGATTTACCAAAAACCATGTAATAGGAGGACAAACCTAAACAACACTTTCAGTTGTATCCAATCAGGCAGGCCCTTGCACTACACAGTTGAAGGTAAATCTAAAGGAAATTGGGCAGAAAATTGGAAGATAATTGTATAATGTATGGCCAGCCTTAGGAGAAAAGCTAAATTTTAGACAACAAAATCTTAATTAACAAGAATTCAACAACAGGTGAGTCTAATTATTAATTAAACAGGTGTCCAGCAGACAGTTGATTATAAAAGGGCATTACTTAACAAAGAAAACCCCTTCCCATTCCATGCTGTCTGCAATGGCACCACATGGAAGAGAAATGTCACAAGGCCTGAGAAAGAAAATAATTTCTTTACACAAGAAAGGCGAAGGCTACAAAAAGATCAGCAAAGCTTTACTTATCAGTCAGAATACTGTAGAAAAAGTGATACAAACATTTAACAAAGATGGAACTGCAACCATCTCACAGAGACGTTCAGGTCACCCATGGAATTTAACACCTCAACATGAGCGTCTTCTGATTAGAAGGGATGAAGAAAATCTCCAAGCAAGTTCACTGCAGTTAGCTAAAGAAATAGAAAGCCAAACTGGGGTGATTGTTTCCCGTGACACAAAACAGTGTACACTGCAGAGGAAAGGCATGCATGTGTGTTATCCATGAAGGAAGCCTCTCCTAAAGCCCATTCACAAAAAAGCCCACCTAGAATTTGCCAGGGCCCATGCTCATAAAAAAGACCACTACTGGGACTCTGTACTCTGCAGTGATGAGACCAAGATAAATGTTTTTGGAACTGATGGCTTCAAAAAAACGTGCAAAGAAAAATTCATGGTACCTACAGTGAAACATGGTGGTGGCAGTGTCCTTCTTTGAGGCTGCATGACTGCTGCTGGTATATCATTGATGGTATCATGAGTTCACAGATGTACTACTCTATATTGAAAGAGAAGATGCTATCATCACTCTGTGCCCTTGGTCGTCATGCACTTTTACAACATGACAATGAACCAAAACACACATCTAAGTCCACGGTTACATTTCTGAAGACCAACAGGATGAAAGTGATTCAGTGGCCAAGTATGTCTCCTGATCTGAACCCAATCGAACACCTATGGAATATGGAATTCTGAAGAGACAAGTTGAGCATGGCTCTCCATCCAGAATCCAGGCTCTAAAAGAAGTGATTCTTGAAGAATGGAAAAAGATAGATCCTGCAATATGTCTCCAACTTGTTCATTCTATGCCTAGAAGACTTGGTACTGTCCTTACAAATCATGGAGGTCATACAAAATACTAGATGTGGTAGTTTTTGCTGTGGGGTGTATTCGTTTTTGCATCAACTAACTTGCGTAAATCTTGTCTCCAAATATCACCCAAACCGTGCTCTCCGCTCCTCGCACAGCCTCCTGCTCTCTAGCTCCCTTGTCTCCTCCTCCCATGCTCATCTCCAGGATTTCTCCAGAGCTTCCCCCATCCTCTGGAACTCTCTACCCCAATTTATCAGACTATCGCCTACTCTGCTCACTTTTAGGCGATCTCTGAAAACCTATCTCTTCAGGGAAGCCTATCCTGCCGTCAGCTAATAATGGAATATTCTGCTCCTCCTACCAGTCCATCCCCCACAGTTATTACCTTTTTTACCACTAGCCCCTCTCTCTTAGATTGTAAGCTCCAAGGAGCTGGGCCCTCCTAACCCTTTTGTATTGAACTGTATTGTTGCTGTATTGTCTCCCGTTATATTGTAAAGTGATGAGCAAACTGTTGGCGCTATATAAATCCTATATAATAATAATACTTTTGGTCCCTTGAAAAAGGGGGGGTGGCTACTCTTAAGAGCTGTAATTCCTAAACCCTTCCTCCAATTTGGATGTACATACCATCAAATTAAACCAGAGGGTTTGCACTTTCAGCCCATATCCATTATATAACTATAACTTGAATATGTTTTGGTAAATATCTGAAAAAAACTAACATTTTTGTGAAAAGGGGTTGTCCTAAAATCACACAATAAATCCTGGATCAAACCCATCCAATGCAATGTTTTAAATGTAGGCAATCAGATTAATCAATTGAGTCACCACAATCATGGGATCAATTTCACTAAAAAATTTCAAATTATTTGAAAAAAGTAGGAATGGGTTTAAATAACTAGGACAAACTCAAAAATACAGTTGTGCTCAAAAGTTTGCATACCGTTGGAGAACTGGTAATATACAGTATGTACCATTTTTAGGCTGCATTCACACTTGCAAATTTGGGCGTTTTCGCATGGTTTTCATACAGCGTTTTTTAGGCTTTTTTTTATTAGCCAATAAAGAAAAATATCACCTGTTGCAGCATTTGTTGCTAGGTTTTTCAGCTTTTTAAGCTTTCCATCAAGTTTAGATTTTATAATTAATATATTTTTTTTTTTCTAGTAGAGTAAGGGGTTGAAGTTAAGGTTACGTTAGGGTTAAGATTAAGGTTAGGATTATGGGTTCATATTTTATCTATTGTCTTATTTATGTATTCTTTATTTTTTTTGTTAGGGTTAGGGTGTTAATAATAATACTAATAATAAATAAATGTAAAAATAAATACAATAAATGAATACTATATAATAGTAAATAAATAAAAATGAATCCCGAACCTTATCCCCCTAACCCTAGCACAAAATAAATAATAATACTAATAATTTATTATTGTTATTATTATTATTAATTTATTTTTTTCTTTAAGGTTTGGGTTTTTTAATTATTATTATTGTTGCTATTATTATTATTATTATTATTATTATTAATAATAACAATAATAATATTTTATTTTAGGGTTAGGTAGTTAACCGCTTTCCTGCCACCCTATAGCAGATATACTGCTACAGGGCGGCAGGGGTGCGTAAAATCACATATATATATTTTGCATTCCGGTGATTACTCGTTGGCACCCGGTGATCGCGGAGCATTACCAACGGAGGGAGAGAACTGTAAGTAAACAATA